TTGGGTATAAATTCAATAAATATTATTCCTGTCTATAGAAGTCTGATGTAAACCTATGAGAATCTATCAATATTTCTCCAAATCTGCACATGTTTGAGCTAAAAGCCCTGAGGGACGTTGTTTTGTGAATCGCTGTCATGACGATCGCACGGGAGTTTTTTTCTGAATGAGAGCAGCTGACGCTCATAATTCATATTAAAGGTAACGACTCATTTTTTTATTTCATAACTCCTGACACAAATTAAGACATAACTGTCACTATAAGTTTCACAGAATACAATAGTGGTCAAATACTGAAACTTGAGTCTTATATCGTTTTAATGATGTATAGTTTGTCAAGTTAATCACATTAAATATGATAGTAACTTTGAACTATTTAAAAAAAAAACGCTTCAGAGCGCCCACGCACTGGTGACGGTTAACAGGTTAAAGTGTTATTATACATTGTTACTACAGTGTTATTACATGTTTATTACAATGTAATTGTACATTTGTTACTAAGTGTTATTACATGTTTATTACACTGTAATTATACATGTTAATACAGTGTTATTACATGTTTATTACAGTGTTATTATGCATTTGTTACTACAGTGTCATTACCTGTTTATTACAGTGTAATTATACATCTGTTAATACAGTTTTATTACATGTTTCTTACAGTGTAATTATACATTTGTTAATACAGTGTTATTACATGTTTATTACAGTGTTATTCTAGATTTGTTAATACATTGTAATTTTACATTTGTTACACATAATTATATATTTTAAAGTGTAAAAACACATTTGTTAGTGTAATTATGTTTGTTACAGTATAATTATGTTTATTACAGTGTAATTATACATACAGTGTTATTACATGTTTGTTACAGTGTTATTATACATTTGTTACTGCAGTGTTATTACATGTTTATTACAGTGTTATTATACATTTGTTAATAGTGTTATTACATGTTTTACAATGTAACTATACATTTGTTAATAGTTTTATTACATGTTTTTTACAATGTAATTATACATTTGTTAATACAGTGTTATTACATGTTTATTACAGCGTAATTATACATTTGTTACTACAGTGTTATTACATGTTTATTACAGTGTTATTATACATTTGTTAATACAGTGTTATTACATGTTTTTACAATATAATTATACATTTGTTAATAGTGTTATTACATGTTTTTTACAATGTAATTATACATTTGTTAATACAGTGTTATTACATGTTTATTAGATTGTTATACATTTGTTAATACAGTGTTATTACATGTTTATTACAGTGTAATTATACATTTGTTAATACACTGTTATTACATGTTTATTACAGTCTTATTTAGGGTTGGGTACCGAAACTCGGTGCCAATAGGGAACCGGTTCCGACGTAAACGGTAGTAACCAGACCGAATAAGAACGAAAATTTCGGTGCCTGATTTCGGTGCCTAACTTCATTAGGCACACACGCGCACACAAGGTCTCTCGCTCTCTCCCTCTCCGCCGTGCGTGTGCTACACAGTATGGAGCACAGTTTCTTCTGTCTCGCATGCGCGCTCTTTCTCGCAAGGTTTGGCTGCATTTCACGTGTAAAATTACGTGTCAGAACACCCTCTGGGTGTGCCGATAGTTTGAATCCCATATAGAATCAAGCCAATTCATTGGCTGATGGCGCGGGCGCCGCATCGACGCACTTACGTCGTCATATTATGTTGGCGCGCGCGCGCCATCTGCTCCTCTGATTTCTCTGCCGAAAAAGGAAGCTGGTCGGCAGCGCGGCCGCGAGGAGCTTGGCAGCGTCCCGTTCCCTATTGAGAGATATGTTACACCAGTAACCAGAGATGTTCTCTTTCATAGGTTCACTCAACGCTGCGTAGCTAAGAAGCAGTGGATTTGTAGGCTGCTGTATCACGTGCCGTTTGAACTGACGCGCTACAGCGATCTGTCACATTTCAAAGAGCCAAAACGTTATTTATTGTGTGAATCTCGTAAAAATATTGACAGAATCTGACAACTGTGGATTTGTTCCATATCAAAAGTAACCTTCTCTGTCTTGTCTGTCGGTGTCAGTGTCCTCTTTGTCCGCGATTTTTCTGTGTGAAAAGGGTCATTTGCGTGAGTCTCACGGTCAATGCGTGAGAGTTGGCAGCTCTGCCTGCTAGTAATCTCTATTAATCTCCAGTATTATTACATTGTTTGATACAATATTGTTTCATTTGATATTATGTAAATATGAATTTTTATTTTATATTGGTTTTATTATTACCATATGTTACTTGTATTTATATTGTTTAAAGATTTAAGTTAATATTGTGTCCAGTTTGGCCCTGTAAATTAAAGGGTATTATTTTTTGATAAAGTGTGTGCGGTTTCATTTTCTTAAGTACCGATTAAAGAACCGTTTAAGCACCGGAACCGTTTAAAAAATACCGAGTAGGTACTGGAATCGGATAAAACCCAAACGATACCCAACCCTAGTCTTATTATACATTTGTTACTACAGTGTTTTTTTTACATGTTTATTGCAGTGTAATTGTACATTTGTTGCCACAGTGTTATTATCCATTTGTTACTACGGTGTTATTAAATGTTTATTACAGTGAACTTATATGTTTATTAAAGTGTTATTGTACATTTGTTACTACAGTGTTATTACATGTTTATTACAGTGTAATTATACATTTGTTACTACAGTGTTTTTTACGTTTATTGCAGTGTAATTGTACATTTGTTGCCACAGTGTTATTATACATTTGTTACTACAGTGTTATTAAATGTTTATTACAGTGAACTTATGTTTATTACAGTGTTATTGTACATTTGTTACTACAGTGTTATTACATATTTATTACAGTGTAATTATACATTTGTTACCACAGTGTTTTTTACATGTTTATTGCAGTGTAATTGTACATTTGTTGCCACAGTGTTATTTTGTTTCGTTTTTTTTTATTTCGTTTTTTTTTTACTTATATCCTACAATAATTGTTTATTCATTTCTAAATGTCGAATAAATTTCACATTTTAAAACCATAGATTGTTTTGAATTCATTGTTATTTTTTGCTGAAGGCATAATTTAAGACTAATTTAATCTTATTTAATCTTCCATAATGGTTGATGTGCTCAGATTATTTTTGAATAATTAAACAATAAATAAAAACAAGATATGGTTTGTATAATACTGATTATGGGTGTCCATACATAGAATAACGTTCTGGGAATGTTAGAATAATGTTAGAGGAACATTAAAATATTGATAGAATAACGTTCTGGGAAGGTTAGAATAACCTTGGGGGAACGTTAGAATAACATAGAGGAATGTTAAAATAGCATTAGAATAATGCTAGGGGCATGTTATCATAAGTTAGAATATGTAGAATATACATTCTACAAACCAAAAACTAACGTTTTATTTCCGTTTAGATAACTTTCCTGGCTAACCAAAAACAAACCTCATATATATATATATATATATATATATATATATATATATACACTGAACAAAATAATAAAAGCAACATGATGCAAAGGAGATGTGTTGCACTGTGTGCAAATGGTGGTCACACCAGATACTGACTGGTTTCTTTGAGTTCAGCTCATGAAAAATGGGGGCAAAAAAAAAATGTTGCGTTTATAATTTTGTTAAAGGAGAACTCCGGTCAATTTTAACATTGAGCTCATTTTTTTGTACATTTGGAGTGCTGGCCACAGTAGTCGATTGTCGAGTTCGCGCGCGCGATCATTAGTTAATAGTTATAGCGCGAACTCGTCAATCGACTACTGTGGACTTCGAACGAAAACAGGAAGTAAATACAGGTATGTGAGCTGGCTAAATTAACATCATTTTTATTAATAACTTGCACATCTACTGCAGTCAGATTGACCGTGGTCACTCTTAATAACACCACTCACATGGCTGTGCACTTGTAATGACACATTAAGGTTGTTAAGAGGCTAAAAGCAGGTTTAGAACTTGCCCCATTGAAGTCAACAGGGTGCAAATTTTAAAAAGAGGATAACACGGTGTAGGCAACACCGATTTTTGTCGTTTTTGTCTGTACTGACAGGACTCCAAATGTACAAAAAAATGAGCTCAATGTTAAAATTGACCGGAGTTCTCCTTTAAGTGTACATATTATGCATCAGACGTTCACCCAACGGTCCATGGGTGTGACGTCTGAGGCTGAGACTACTAGACAACTGAAATGGACCCCTTAAAACCTGGGGTTATTTGTCAAGTTTGCTCTAGAAGTGCTATTAATGTAATGGAGAATAAATTCATGTCTGGGGAATATGAAATATGATACAAGTAACTTTGAAAGCAATGCAATCTTTCATTCTTTAGCACAGCACTGACATCTAATGGTGGATTAGATAAATAAAGATTTAGAGAAATCGTCAAAGTATCAGCATCCATATTTCAAATATTTTTTGATGCCTGACAAACTAACAACATAACAGCAAAATAAATGTTCATTAATTTGTCATATTTTATGTATTTCATTTATTATATTCTAGTAATATATTTATATTCATTAGACAGCACCATGCCCTGTACATGTTGACATTTAGTAGATATTCTGTAAGGCTTCTCATAGCTCATGTGGATATCCATAGTGCAGCTTCACTTCCAGGGTCAGTGGGCCCCATGGTGCAGCTCCACTTCTAGGGTCAGTGGGCCCCATGGTGCAGCTCCACTTCCAGGGTCAGTGGGCCCCATAGTGCAGCTTCACTTCCAGGGTCAGTGGGCCCCATGGTGCAGCTTCACTTCCAGGGTCAGTGGGCCCCATGGTGCAGCTCCACTTCCAGGGTCAGTGGGCCCCATAGTGCAGCTCCACTTCCAGGGTCAGTGGGCCCCATGGTGCAGCTCTGCCTCTTGGCTCAATGAGTCCATAAGATTTAAGAATCTTGCGTTCTGTATAATCTGTGAATATATCTGTGAATAGTTGCCATAATACTTTAAACTCAAAAAGACTGATAAAATAATGAAACCTCATTTACACCAGTTTTAAATATATACTTCATTACAAAAATACATATAGATAATTATAGAATACACATTTATAAAGCTTTTACAGTGAGCCCAGCATTCTGCCATCCAATTCAGAAAAAGTGGGAGGCAACCTATAAGGTGAGCACTGACACAGGCTATATTCCAAAAACTGAACAACAATTGCAAAGACATGAACACAAAACCAGTGCAGGTAAAACATAACTAGAATACTGAGCATCTGTACAGATGGCAAATGAAAATTACAGAACACACAAGCACAGAGCAAAAGCATCAATTTGCTTAGTAAGACGTTTGTGTGTGATTGATGCAAAGTGTATGACGTACGGTCGACATGTTCTGACAGAAGAAAAATGTGCATTTAAAGCTGTTATTCAGTTCCAGTTAAGATCATTTCATTAATACAAACTTCCCCTAATCTTCATACAGAGACTAAGTGCTGTTTCTGTGATATATAAACCTGAGCAAAATCAGAAAATGCAAAGTTAAAGCAGAGTTCCACTTAAAAGTAAATGAAAAAGATAATATTCTCATAATAGCTAAATCAGCAACTGAGAACAATTGGTCCCGTGATAAAGACAATGAAGACCAACAAAACTAACAAGAAACTGATGAATTAAGAATACACTAAGTGCATTTACAGTATTTTTTTTGCAGCCATCATGGCACATGAAAAATGGGTTTATTCTAAAATAGATTCGTCTAGCCAGACTTTTGACATGAGGAATGAACATTGACATTCTCAGTTCGACCACAGTTTGTTTGTTTTAATCGTGGGTTATCTAAAATAGATTAAACCACAATAATAGAGGCATGGGGGAAAAAAAGACCGACTGTGGGTGATCTGTGGCTGTGCAGTCTCAGGCGGCGACTAATTTTACCACCACAGAATAGAATAAAACTAATGAAAAACTAGTATAAGCTGATATTAGCAACAAGGCCTATACACAGCATGCAACATCATGAATGAGAGTTAACCGAAGTATGAGTGTAATAGATAATCCATAAAGGTGTGGTAATATTATCATGAAATTTCACAGGAAAAAGTCCATCGTCAATAATGTAGCGATGTATGAAGCACAGCTTACACAGAAGTCACTTTCAAACCAAGCAGCAGAAGTCACTTTCAAACCAAGTTGGTCATTCGCCATGTGACCTTGAACCCTTTGAGGAATCTGTGTGGGGAAATCTTTTACCCTCACAGGAAATTGCTGATCACATGGATTTCAATCCCTACTGAAACGACCGACTTTGTCCACAAAAATTCACAGAACAACAGTAAATGTGACTGCACCTTAATGGTCTAGACATCCATTCATAATGTCTATACATCCATTCAAAAGCTTATAATGTCTGACCAGTATACCCTGCAATATCTTTACATAAAATAAGGGATGTAGCAACCATTACAAATCACATCACTTAATTAATATTGAGCAGTGCTGATAAGATTTAAATTATGTCCCCACTTTTCAGATGGTTCCTACACCCCTGCATAAAATATTCAGAATAAATAAACTACAAACATTTCACAGGCTGAATGCAGTAGTGTAAAGTCACATTTGATGCAGTGAAAAGCTAACTTTTCTCTATTTTAAAACTTAAGCAAAATATACAAACACAATCTGATGTACATGGTTCATTTATAACTGTTCACATTGCACTTGTTGTACTTCAAGTAAGTGAATTTTGCATTTTGCTTGTATTGATTATAAGCAGTTAGGCAATGAATATTCAAATGACCTGCATAATCTATTAACAAACATCAATTGTATAACTGGTCCACAGTCAAAGAGCTGAATTCTCAGTGGATCGATTCTCATTGCTTCGCTGGAAAGGAGATCTGCTCTGTTCTTCCTTTTCCTGCCATTAGAACCTGACACAAATCAGAGATATATGTTGAATTCTGCCTTACTTTATTTTTCTGTGTAACACAAAAGACGACATTTAAAGAATTAGTTTTTAGACATTTAAAGAATATCACTGGGGTCCAAAACAACACTGGACCCCAATGATTTTCATTGTATGGACATAAATGTATTGAAAATTTTTTTTTTTCAGATTTTCTCTCATGTTTCACTGAAGAAAGAAACTCATACAGGTTTAGAGTAAATTTTCATTTTTGGGTGAGCTATCCCTTTAATAATCATATAGTTATACTACCTTTGTCTAGATGGACCGTAGGAGTCCAGCATTTGAGTGCTGGCCTGCTCCAGATTCCAGCCACACCTCTCCAGAGCTTCTACGCATTCAGGCCGAGCCTTCAAACCCAGTCGGAACAACTGCTCCACCTACATCGGAAAACAGTCATCTGTGTAAATGCTTCAAAGATCTTTCATCATCCATGAGCACCTCTCTCTCTTTTGTGTCTGAAATGAAGCACACAGATACCTTCAAATATTTCACGGCCTCCTGAAAGTTCCAGCTGTGTGTCTGAAGGGCCGTTTGACACTCCTCTACAGTCACTCCATGTACCGCCTCCTGCACCTACAGAAACAACCAATCAGTCATCTCAAAATACCATGACATCATTGAGTAGCCAATGGTGAGAGTCTCTGGAGAAAAATTGCTTACTTGTTGTATCGTGACACGGTTGAAGGCACCTGCTTGGGTGCTGCTCGGCCAGGCCAGACTGTTGGAAGTCTCGCTGTTACTAGTGTGGCCGGTGGAAGAACTGAGCTTGTTGACTTGCTGATGAACCATAGGCCTCACTGTGGCCATATTTGTGGGTTTTTTCTCAGTGTTTCCCTCTGAGTCCTTCAAGAACCTCTCGTACTTGTCCAGGTATGCCGGTTTCTCAGGTAGCAAGTAGTAATGAGTGCTGCTGGCCTTCACACCACCATACACGATAGGGAGGATGCAGGGACTCTTAGCCGGAGTCTGGCCCACTTCAGTAGATCCGTACTGAGAACTTGCAGTGGTGGCGGTTGACGTAGATGATGTGATGGAGGAGCTGGATGGCGCAGAGGAATATGACGACGGGGATAGGCAGGAGCCCAATGATCCGACGCAACAGAGGCTGGATCTCTGTTGAGGGGAGCCGCCTTGCTGCACCATAGGGCTCGGTGCCCGAGAGTTCGGCTGAGATAGAGCGTGATCCCTTGGGGGTATCTGAGGCGGACAGCGGCTCACGTCTTCTTGGTCTCCAAGAGAAACCGATAGTCTGCTGCCATATATTCCTGCCCGCTTAGAGGGCCGCATGGGTGGGATTGGGATTCTTGGAGGGATTTGAGGCCTGTCCTCATAGGAGGAGGGCAGGATGATCTGTCGGTGCGGGGCGAGAGCTGAAGGAGTCGGGAGGGGTGAAGAAGGGAGGGAACGTCCGGTCGGAGGGACCCGAAGCTTCACCATCACCTCCCTTTGTAGCTCCTTGAAGATGTCTGCTGATTGCGAAAACGAGTGGGATTCCTCACCATGCTTGAATGGTAGAAAGAGGTTGTCCTCCACATTGCATTTACCATCGACTTTAATGTCATCCTCTGATTGTGTCTGTTCAGATACAGTGTCTTCCTGCACCGCCGCAGATGCATTTATGGAGCTCACTTCCATGTCTTCCTGCTCAGCACACTCCAAGGAAACTTCGTCATATGCCGGAAGAGAAGGTAGGGGCCGCATATCCCAATCCACCACAGGAGTAGGGTGCATGGGGTTGGGCAGGGCTCGATTGGGGCTCTGCGGTGGCGCCATATCTAAGATAGATGCGGCGTAAGATGCAGGTGGTTTCGCTGTGCTGGGGTTGGGCGTCTCGGTAATGGGTGAAGGTGATGTAGAGCTAAAACTATCGTCTCCAAAGTCAATGAGTGAGACTTCGCTAAGGCGGTCACTCGGAGTAATGCTTTCCCAAGGCCAGGGGCGTAAACCCAGGTACGTGGGAGTCTTAAGCGAGAGTTTCTTCACACCCGTCACTATCAGATCATCATCATTGTCCAGTACAGAGTCGTAAAATGGTTCTGGGAACAAGTCATAAGGCAAAACTTTAGGAAAATTGTTTTTGTCATGTGATTCTTAGAAGAATAGAAATGGTTCTTACTCTTAAGAAGAACTGCTGGTTTAGGAGGTCTGGGGGGAGGTTGTTCTGACACAACAGTAAGAAAAGATCAGAAACAAAAGAAGACAGAGCAAAAGAGAGAAGTGGTGAATTTGAAGAAGAGCAGAACAGCCCAGCTCAACAAGATCAAGCAATTGCTTACTTTTAGCCCGGTTTGGAAGTTTAGTGGGCTTGGCCGCATTTGAATCCATCCCAAGAACATCTGGAGGATCCATGGGATTACCAAGGTACAGACTGAACACAAAGCACATTGGGTAAATAACTAAATCCACCTCTGCAGATTTTCATTCATTTCAGTCATTTAGTGGTTCTCATCTCATCAAGTGGGCAGAGATGACTAAACAGTATTTAAATCCATAAATTACTATGAATATATTAAAATAATTACAATTAAAATGCTAAAAACACATAAAATCAAGATATAAACTGCAATTTCCTAAATTAAATTATAATAAAAATAATAATAAATAATATAAAATATTTTTTATTTTTACCCATCAGTAACTTGTTTTTTTATTATTGAACATCATACTACGCTGGCTGAGAGAACTCAATGCACAGCAACTAAAGAAAACACATGCAAATTAAGAAAACATCAGTTTGACACAGCTGCAAATACTCACAGCCCAAACAAAACATAAACGCGCTGAAAATACTCACAACAACCTGGATGAGACATGCTTAATGTTAAATGTCTACTCGTCAGTGGTGTTGTCGATGACCTGAAAGGTGAGTTTTTTGTTAATTTTAACATCCTGATCATATGTGTTTTGTGAGTATTTGCAGTGCGTTTCTGTATTTGTTTGCGTTGTGAGTGTTTGGAGCACGTGTTGTTAAACTGATGAAGATGTTTTTCTCATTTGCTTTTTTTTTTTCTATTTGCATCCGTTTTCTTCAGTTGTCGCGCATTTAGCTCTTTCAGCCAAACAGTTCTTGAAATATTTGAAATCACAATATGAATCGAGGTTAAATAAATTAACATATCAATATTGAAAGTTTCCATTTAAAAAAAAGTTTAAAAGCAAGAAACTTTATTATAATTACTGCAGAATTCCCAGAAAAAAGTATATTTCGGGACAACGGAGGGCTTTTGAGTTAAAAAGGTTGAGAATTACTGGTTTAAAATAATATATTGCTGCTCTCTAGTGGTGAACACAAGGAAAGCGGTCTGTTCCCTGAGAGATAAAAAAATCCATAGAGTCTGCTAACAAGAAGTCAGTCGTGCATGGTCATGGAATATTACTCATCGATCTTGTCAGGGGTGCCCCAACTTCGGAGTGGGTCTGTGTCTCCATGGCCTGTGTGGATGAAACTGTGCTTGAGAGGTCGGCTGATGTCGTGAGCAGACAGACCAGCCACAGAGGTCACCACATTCCTCGGGAACTGTCCCACCTTCAGAGTCTGTCTATTCTGACCTCTCCACCAATAGTTCTCTGCTCTGCAGCACAGAAATGAGGCTGTAAAAACAGACTAAAATAACTAGAGTAAATACACAAACATTTTTTAAACAAAGCAAGGCTGGTCTGTTCAACATTCATGTCATTAGCATAAATGGTGAAAAACTAGGACTGTCAAGAATAACATAATTGCAATTAATTTACTGATTATTAAATCTATTGATCAAATTCTGACTTTGGCATACCTTAACATTTTTTTCTATCTTTCCTAGGCCGTAGGTTAAAAGCGACCACATAATACAGTGGTTCCTCACACCTGGCTTATGCAAAAATATGTCCTTACCTGCCCTCAATGATAGTGATGATGTCATTGGCATGAATTTTAAGTTTGTCTGGTTCATCAAAGTCCTGCAGTGCCCTCATGTCAGTGGGCATTGTCTATAAGTGAATTAGAAAAACTTCTTTAATTAAAACAGCCAATAATTATATTGACATTCTGGTGTATGTGCAATTCAATAAAAAGACTTTGATACAAGGACATTCTAACCAGTATAATCACCTTCTGCTGTTGTTATTCGAGACCTTACCTCCACAAGGAAGTCCCTGAGGGACACAAATGTCGGCCTGTCCTCGGGTTTGGGCGACCAGGACTGCAGCATGACGTTATAAATGTCCTGCGGACAGTCCTCCGGTTTGATAAGCCTCTCTCCCTCCCTATCGATCTTATGGAGAATCTATGCAAAAGGACAAACAGATGTCACACCAACTTTACTTACAAAAAAAAGGTGTTTAGGGTCAGGTATGTCTGTATACCTGACTACCATTGAGTCCAACCCATGGTTCCTGCCCGTGAGTGAACATTTCCCACAATGTTACTCCAAACATCCAGGTATCACTGGCATGGGAGAAGGTACGGGTCTTCAGGCTCTCTGGAGCACACCTGCAAAGCATGAGGATGTCAACATGGGCTCGAGGAATAAATAAAAATTAGATGGTGGTCTATAACTCTTCTCACCAGGCAAAAGGGACTTTGTGATGCTCCTGCATCACGTAATGATCATCGTTTTTAGGTAAAGCTCTCATTAGGCCGAAGTCACCGATCTTGATGAGGTCGTTGGAGGCTAACAGGATGTTGCGTGCAGCCAGGTCTCTGTGAATGAATCGTCGGGACTCAAGGTAGGCCATGCCACAGGAGATCTGAACAGCATAGTGGCACAGCACCGCTATCAATATATGACCCTGACGCTTCCTCAGGCGGTCCAACAAAGCACCCAATGGGGCAAGTTCTGTCACCTGAAACACAAATAAGACAGGTAGTTCACACAAAAATGAAAACCATTTACACTAGCAAATTTGAAAAGTTGGGGTCAGTAAGATTTTTTTTTAGGTTTTAAAAAAAGTCTCTAATGCTCACCAAGGTTGCATTTATTTGATCAAAAATACAGTAAAAACAGTAATATTGTGAAACATTATTACAACTTAATATAACTTTTTTTCTATTTTAATATATTTTAAAATGTAATTTATTTCTGTGATGGCAAAGCTGAATTTTCAGCAGCCATTACTCCTGTCTTCAGTCACATGATCCTGTAGATCCCCTACCCTGTAATCTGCTGATTTGGTGCACAAGAAACATGTCTTATTGTTATCAATGTTGTGATGCTTAATATTTTTGTGGAAACCGTGATACATTTTTTTCAGGATTCTTTGATGAATATAACATAAAAAAAAAAAACATTTATTTAAAATATATTTTTCTAACAGTGTAAAAGTCTTTACTATCACTTTTGATCAATTTAATGTGTCCTTGCTAAGTAAAAGTATTAGTGTAGTTCAGTTTGATTTGGTTTAGGTTTGTTTGCTATACCATAAAGGTAGACTATAAAGGAACATGGTTGTTGTTTTAAAGACACAGAATGCCATTTTTAGTACTTCAATTCTCATTCCTCACCATCTTCATGGGGTGTGTGAGGACAACACCATATAGACGAATGAGATTGTGGTGGTCCAGGGAGTGCATGGCGTTAACTTCCCTTATGAAGTCATCTAGACCTTCACCCTGCTGGTCCAACAGGTCTGTCTTCAGGCACTTTACAGCCACACTCAGCTACAGCACAGGAAGAAACTCTATGCATTATATTCATTTTGCATATGGATACCTAATCATTACTAGTGATGTTTATCTTCCTTCCCTCTTACCACTCTTCCAGAGGGGGCTTGCCATTCTCCACGTTTCACCACTCCGAAGGAGCCGTCTCCCAGTTTCTCGTAGAGGGTGAGGTCTCTGTCACTGATGAGGCAGGTGAGATCGGCTGGCTGACCGTCTGGTTGAGCTGATGATGGGGATGAGCTGCGGAACACGGCTGGAGTCTGGGAATCGGAGTCAGGACGCTTCCCGGTGAACACCTGCTGGCCCAAGCACAGAGACTACGGCTGAGGGTGATTCCACCTGCCTCTGACTCCAAGATGCAGTAGATTTTCACACAGTGAGAGGTGTCATTTATAAACCTGGCAGACATCAGTGATAATCTATGTGAAGCTTAAATGCAGCTATGAGAAAAAAAGACTTATTTAAAATCGACATATTTCGACATATTTAATATATAAATATATATATACACTCACCTAAAGGATTATTAGGAACACCATACTAATACTGTGTTTGACCCCCTTTCGCCTTCAGAACTGCTTTAATTCTACGTGGCATTGATTGATTCAACAAGGTGCTGAAAGCATTCTTTAGAAATGTTGGCCCATATTAATAGGATAGCATCTTGCAGTTGATGGAGATTTGTGGGATGCACATCGAGGGTACGAAGCTCCCGTTCCACCACATCCCAAAGATGCTCTATTGGGTTGAGATCTGGTGACTGTGGGGGCCATTTTAGTACAGTGAACTCATTGTCATGTTCAAGAAACCAATTTGAAATGATTCGAGCTTTGTGACATGGTGCATTATCCTGCTGGAAGTAGCCATCAGAGGATGGGTACATGGTGGCCATAAAGGGATGGACATGGTCAGAAACAATGCTCAGGTAGGCCGTGGCATTTAAACGATGCCCAATTGGCACTAAGGGGCCTAAAGTGTGCCAAGAAAACATCCCCCACACCATTACACCACCACCACCAGCCTGCACAGTGGTAACAAGGCATGATGGATCCATGTTCTCATTCTGTTTACGCCAAATTCTGACTCTACCATCTGAATGTCTCAACAGAAATCGAGACTCATCAGACCAGGCAACATTTTTCCAGTCTTCAACTGTCCAATTTTGGTGAGCTTTTGCAAATTGTAGCCTCTTTTTCCTATTTGTAGTGGAGATGAGTGGTACCCGGTGGGGTCTTCTGCTGTTGTAGCCCATCCGCCTCAAGGATGTGCGTGTTGTGGCTTCACAAATGCTTTGCTGCATACCTCGGTTGTAACGAGTGGTTATTTCAGTCAAAGTTGCTTTTCTATCAGCTTGAATCAGTCGGCCCATTCTCCTCTAACCTCTAGCATCAACAAGGCATTTTCGCCCACAGGACTGCCGCATACTGGATGTTTTTCCCTTTTCACACCATTCTTTGTAAACCCTAGAAATGGTTGTGCGTGAAAATCCCAGTAACTGAGCAGATTGTGAAATACTCAGACCGGCCCGTCTGGCACCAACAACCATGCCACGCTCAAAATTGCTTAAATCACCTTTCTTTCCCATTCTGACATTCAGTTTGGAGTTCAGGAGATTGTCTTGACCAGGACCACACCCCTAAATGCATTGAAGCAACTGCCATGTGATTGGTTGATTAGATAATTGCATTAATGAGATATTGAACAGGTGTTCCTAATAATCCTTTAGGTGAGTGTGTATATTTATATATATATATATATATATATTTTTTTTTCTGTTAACTGAAATAAAGCTGAAATAAAATTAAATAAATGTTGTCTTGTCAATAAACTGAATTAAGTTTAAGTAATTAACTGTAAATATATTAAAACTAAAAAGTACAAAAACCTAAAACTGAAATTAAAAATGTAATTACACTTAAATAGCACTAATTTAAAAAAATGAATAAAATAATATTAAAAATTAAACTAAAACTAAAATAATAATAATAATTTGTTATATTTATAGTTATATAAAAGTAATGTAATATAATAAAACAAAAATAACACTAATATATATATATATATGTGTGTGTGTGTGTGTGTGTGTGTGTGTGTTTATATATATATATATATATATATATATATAAGTAATATAGCCATTTTTCATTTCAGGATCCATACCATACCTTGCTCATCCATGACTTCCGTTTGCACATGGCCCTTCTCCTTTTCACTGCCTCCCACAGCCGTCTCTGACCTGCGGAGCCAGAGAGGGATGAAAAATATATAATAATATAATATAATACTCACCTCATCTTTTTTATATTATATTATATACAAATTTAATAATAATTTAATTAATTCTTCCAACATTCAAAACTCCTCTCACACAGTTAAAACACATGCAACCCCACTCACCTGGGCGGCCCATGCCGATCTTTTCAAGGTCCTCATTTTTGACATAGTCAAAGTGTGAGAGACGTGTGACATTGAGGTCGTCACGGATACGCAGAAAATACTGCTGGAGCTGCACATCGGTGAGCAGCTCCATGAGCCACTCCGTACCCTCGTCAGACTGCATGTCTTCACCGTCCGCCTGCAAACACACAACATAAGCATAAACAATATTATACTCAACAATTCTGCTCCTCAAGTAAATCTGTTATTTTAAGGAAATTTCCTGGAAAACAAAACAAAAATACATTTTATTGCTGTGTAGAGGAAACCGTACACAGCATCTTTTACCTCATCTTTTACATTATAGTGTCGCTGGTAGTCTGAGACTGCCGCCATTTGTACATGGAAAGCAGTGCTTTCAGGGAGTGTGTGTATGAGTGAACTGCACTCCCTCGGGGTGTGTCCTGTTTTCACAGTAAACTGTCAAGCGTCTCCTCTAATCTGCAAGATATATTTGTTTGATTCTTCTTCCTCCCATCAGCCGCAACATGAAGCTCTCTTTTATAAGCTAAAGTCAAGAATAGCATGTGTAATCTGATTCTTCGCCGAAAAAATAGTTGCAGTCTCATGTGAAACTGTGTCTTATGTTGCAAAACCTCTGCCCAGCCTCCTGAGACTTAGTGTGAAAGATTATTCCCACCCTTGTGGATGAATGAATCAGTGCGCACAGTGCCTTAAATCCAGTTCATTGCAGTCCTGTCCTGTCTTCCAAACATCTCCAGATCCATCTTCTTCAGGTCTCATCTCCTTAAGTCTCAGTCAGATGAATAAAAAGGTCACAGCTTGTTAACGGTAAAGCATTTCCATATTAGTTTTTTTTTTCTCCAGAAGCAGAATTTTGCTTTCTCTTGCTGAGTCACTGCGAGATGCAGTACGAGTGAGGCAGACCTCAAGACACAATCCTTAAGCAGTATTGCGGTACAAAACAGAATGTGCTCAACATCACACAGCTTAACCTCGCCCACAAAAAAAAGAAAAAAAGAAAAAAGGGTTATATTGATGTGTCAACATCATTGTACAAATCCTTTGTTTTATTTGTGGCCATTTTTATAGTGACAGGAAATTACTGAAATAGGATTAGGAAACGTCTCTAGCCGCATTCAAACTCACAAAAGTGTCAACACACTACATGCCAGAGTATGTACACTATAACGGACAGATGTATAGACAGACAGACAGAGACAGATAGATAGATAGATAGATAGATAGATAGATAGATAGATAGATAGATAGATAGATAGATAGATAGATAGATAGATAGATAGACAGATAGACAGACAGACTGCAATGATGATATGTAGTTCTGCAATGATTTGACATAAATATGCCCCGACATAACACAGATTTAGCCGACTGACCAATCAGAATCAAGTATTCCAGAGAGCCGTGTAATATATATATAGAGAGAGACACAAAAAGGGTGTCAAAACTTCATTGATTCTATTGGGGAAATGTACATCCACTTATGGAGCAGTAAATCAGGACATATTTATTTACCCATTCACTATTGATGAAATATGCAGCCTCCCAGTGCAAAAAGAGAGAAACGGGGGAAAGGTGTAGAGAGAATGTGATTGTGAGTTGCCTAAACACCCTGAATTAAAACAGCCCACACACGTGCATAAAACATATTTATTCACACTTTTTAACGAAACACGTCAACCATCATAAATCACCCACTGAGTGTGACAATGACAATGTCGCATTAACCCTTGGCAACTAGAGCATGACTAAGAGGAGCAGCCAGAATGCCACATGGCATCTCTTTCCCTTCTAGAGATCCCCTACGCACAAATATGAGGATTTACAATACAGGACACTGTCGTAGGAGACAGGGTGGGTGGAAATGTCCACCCTTTGAAACTCTGATACTGTGAGATATTATATTTCGGCAACAGACTCACACTGGCCTTATATAGTTGTACAGTAGGTATAGAAACAATATATTAAATATTTCATAAGCAATTTAAACTATTCAGTCTATTTCAGGACATTCTAAGTTTAAAGAACTAAATAGAAATAAGTAGATAGACAGACGGACGGACGGACGGACAGAAAGACAGACAGACAGACAGACAGACAGACAGACAGACAGACAGATAGATAGATAGATAGATAGATAGATAGATAGATAGATAGATAGATAGATAGATAGACCTTATACAGAGGTACAGCACATAGAAACAATATTCTAAATATGTCATAACCTATTTAACAATTCAGTCTTTTATTCAGGACATTCTAAGTTTAGAGTTTTGCCTTTATCCAGCAAGGCATTTATGGTGAATTGATATCTAGAAGTGGTCTTACCAAGCTTTAGGCCAGTCCTGAGGTCTTCAGAAAATGTCCACTAGAGGATGTCAGGGACGGTCCTCTGGCGGTCCAGTGTTTGACAAGGCCATGCCAGGCACATATGAGCCAAATCAAGGCCGCTTCTGACTAGTCAACGTCAAACTGCAAAACAGATTTACATATGCCTTTTATAACCTTGTTACAATGTGTATTTTCAAACATTTGATACTGATTGCAGGGATTTGCAAACATAGATGCAAGTAAGAGGGATAATCGTGGACCTTGTAAGGTAAACATCCAGTTTACATATTCAAATCGTTCTTGTGGACTGACTTATCTCTTTCATTTAATGAACAGAAACGCTCCCTAAACAAACACGCCCTGAACGAGTCAGTTGCTGAATTCGGCACTGCATACTAGCAGACTGCTCTTAAGAGTAGTAGTAGCTATGTTAGTTTCCAAATGCAGTAAGTGTTTTGAATCTGTATAAGACTCTGACTTAATATGTTCTGTATAATAACGCTTGTTTTGGTCACAAACGACTCTGTGTTAAACAAATCTGTTGAGTGAATTATTCAACGAATCATGTCATTCATAAAACACTTTCGCCACTTGCGTTCCAACAGCATTCAAATCTAAATGAATCTTTTTGGAGAATGGATTCAAAAGATTCGAATAACTGAAAGTAATATAAATCCATTTTAGCATCACTGAGATTTGTATTTATCATTTAATTTAAAAGTTTTAGTAATTTTGTTGTGTTTTTGTCATTTTAGTTATTGAATTTTTTAAATGTCGATCTAGTTTTTATTGATTTTTATTTCAGTTTGAGTTATTTTAGGCTACATCCAGTTAAACTAAATGAAAATGACTAATGTTGCTTTGGAAACTAGCTGAAATAAAAATAAGTTTATTATTTTGTTTTTCAGTTAGCATTTATTTTATTTCATGTAACAATTTAGTAAATAATTTTTAAAAATAAAAATAACCCTGATCTGAATCTGTGACAAGTTGAATTCTATACTTTGCAACCAGATAGTTTGGGATAATGAACTATATATTATATATAATAATTGTTTGTGACTGAATTATTAATAGGCTATTATATTGAACAGTTGCGTTTTGTCGTTTTGAGTCGTGCTAAAGAACACCATACCGTGATAATGCACTGCATCTTGTGGTTTATTTCTTTAAATTATAAAATTTTATTAGAAATTTAGCTTAGATCGAATAGAAATATAAATCATAAACCGGGCAGCGGGTCCAAAAGGAACTATATTAAACGTTTTGAGTTTCCCATCTGGACAGCATTTCAGCATTTCGAGTCTTCATCTCAGGCCCATCAGTGGTCTAGCTAGACAGCACGCTAGGTTTTGAGACACAGCCACTGTCTTCTTTATTTCAGATAGAGGCGGACATAACAAGCTGATTCAAACAAGCGTAAGTAACCTCTTTATAAATAGATAGTTAAGTTAAAGCAAATTGGCATCAGCGGTGTTATCCATACTGATCACATGCTCTGTGATGCAGTCAGTCATCAGGATGGTTAGCGAGGTACCTGTATTGATCAGTGCCGCAGTCCGAGCTCACATTTATGTAGTTTTGAGTGAATTATATTTCAAAACAGACAATACTGTCAAATGATATACTTACCTATTAAATAGTCGTTTTAAAGAAAGAGAATAAGCTGCTCAGCGGCCGTAATCCTTCTTCCCCCTCGGTACAACAAGGATTGCATCTCTTTCTTAAAGCGACAGCGCTTTTTACGCAGATGAGCGCGCGGGGGCGTTTGTATCTTTATGTGAACCTTACTGTGGTTCTTAAACTAAGCTAAATAATAATGAATGAAGACTTAATATAAACATGTGGCATTTGAACATGTGTGATTGGGGACTACAATGTTTTAGTTGCGGCACATTCTAAGGTAATTTACTATAACATCGTCAAATGATGTCCTAGTATAATTTGTTACTGACCTCATGAACCGTGAACAGCCAGCACTTACTGGTTTTCATGGTGCATAATGGGGAGTTTGCACTCCCTTACAGCATAATTGCTTCAATTTCTAGTGAGGACCACCAATTGACACACACATATATATTTTTTATTAAATTTGATTTATTTTATAAACTAAGCCAGTTACAAATACACCCTATTATAACTTTTTTTCTTTTTTTTTTTTCAGAATGTTGGCCCTCACAGTTGAACAAATATGAACACAAATGTTTGTCCCCATCAGGTGCAAATTAAAGACAAACATGTTCAATGTTTTTCACTACAGATCTGTTTTATGTCTTGTGAGGTAAGAAAATAAAGTCTTGCACAGCAGTTAACATACTAGGAATGGCAGAGTTTATTACAGAGCAAATTAAGGTTGACAGATGTCAGTTCTAACAATTAACAGTAATCAAATGGTTGTAACCCATACACCCAACAAATCTGGACATATTCAAAAGATTAATTTCAACTTCCCTGCTATTTATTTTGATAAACAGAAATGTGGTAAATCATCCCCACTTGCCTAAGTAAAAGTTAAATTAAGATTTGATTCATGCACATTTTACATGCTATGAAAGATCAAACAATTTCTGTTTCTGGTAAGTGCCACAAAGAGGAGAAAAGACAGTTTCAGAATAGTATGCATAACTTGCAAAATGTGTCCACCAAACCTTGTCAGAAGTGCCTTCAAACATGAACCCATTACGTAAAATCAGCAGTAAGATCTGTAAAAATCTGAGTTTCTATATAAATTACAATTACCTTTTTCAAATTGCAACAGAAACAGACCAGAAAAGAGAAATCTGAAACAAGAACCCAATGAAACACTGAAAAGAAACTGACTCTGATAAACAAAAGTCATGACTAGATGCAACTCACAAATTCAAAAGTTATCTAAAGTTATTAATAGTAACAAAGCAGAAAAAGCCACACAAAAAACGTGACAATAATGAAAAATAACAATTTGCATAAACTATGGGAAACACTGTTCCCGATAATTTGATCCACCCTACAGTGAAATATGAGGATCACTGCCCTCGATATATACACGCCGGTAGGCAAAAACTACCTTCAAACACTCTGCATTATGGAAGACACTGCTCCCGATAATGGATTTAGAATAGAAATATAAATGTTACAACAAATGCTGTTGTCACTTAAATGCTTGAGCCCACGAGTTTGGTCAAAATGGAAACCTGCTTTGCCAATTCATTTGTTTCAGACCAACTAGAACTAAAAGTATATTTTTTAATATGACATGATCTGAAAACCCATTCAAAATCTTCACTCAATAGCCCAAACTATTATTTTCTGGTTTCAGTTTTGCCAATTCAGGGCTTTTCTTCAAAAAAAAAATTTTTTTTAAAGAAGAGGAACTGCTCCGTGAGTAATAAAACGGGTGCTTTTGAGCTTATTTCCTCAAGCACCTGTAACAAGAGACATTTCTGATACCAGCTGTTGGTAACATGCATTTCTGTTAGCAGATGCTGCTTTTAAGAACTGACAGTATAACCGTCACAATTATGGAAGACACTGCTTCCGATAATTTAAAGAAAAGAAGACACTTTTATAGTGAACACTGTCACTGATAAATAAATAAGAAATAAATATAGTATGGTCCTCAGTTGGTCACAAAGGCTGAGTTTGGGGGTTTTACATGAAGTGCAAAAAGGACTAAAATCCCCAAGTAGCAGCCGAGAACGAGGTTTACTCCACATGCAACTTGCTAGCGAGTCATGGATGAGGAAAAACATCTTTAACTAGAACTTGAAAAGCACCCTAAAATCAGTTTGCAGAAGAACAAATATTGTATCATTTATCCTTAGTCCAGCAATAATAATACTTGATAATTATAATATCTATCATAATTATAATCATAATGCAATAAGAATGATATCTATATAATTTATTATCTCAATATAGTTCTTAATGTTTAAAGAACTTTTTAACTTAAAGCTGCCCTATCATACATTTTGAAGCATCTTGGGCAAAATTCATCATTCCAAATCAAATCTACTTTCATAGTGGCAGGATTATTTGTGTGTATCGAGAAGCACATTTAAGCAAAACAGATGTCAGGTTGGTTGATGCAATGCTATATCTCGTTGTCTAAGGACCAGATATCTCCAGCCAGGTCATTGGCACAGCCCTGGATGGTCCAGGTGAGTAGAGCAAACTTGTTTAGGACCTGGTCTTTGTCGAAGCTTGCTTTTTTTGCATGTACATCATCCAGGTACTTTTCCAGGTCTGTGGCGGTTTGCCACCCATTACCAAAGAAAACGTGGCGGAACGGGATCTCTCTCAAAGAGACATAAGGTGACAGAAAATTATGCTCCACCTTAAAAGAGAAAGAAAATGACAAGAACATGAGAACTTGGCCAATATGTATCAATCAATGATACAAGATGCGCCTAGAAAAGCCAAGAGAATAACTTCACCTTCATTATGCGGTTATTGATTATGCGACACATCTCGATGTCATCCAGGTCGCTGCCCTGGATGTCAATAGCTAGAGAGGCTGCGGCCCGGCCAAAGGAGCTCTTTGCTGCATTCAGCCACTCGGTTGACAAAGACTCAATTTTATCGACCTGTTGAAAGAATTTTGAGAAACGAGCAAGTTATTTTCCAGATTAAAAACTGGTTAAAGTAAACCAGCATTGCAAAAACATCATGTATATGACAAAAAGCATTACCTTGTCAAGTTTGAGACTGTTAACACGACTGATGATGCCGCCCACGTGCTTTGTGATCACGTCGCCATACGTGGTAACGTCCAGTTTGAGAATGTGGTCATGAACGAGACGGAGGGCCATCTGCCCAGCAACCTGAGCAGCAACCAAGGACAGATCGACCACTTTCTGACCCGTGACACGATCCAGTTCGGTTTTACTATCCAAATCGGTTCCAAAATACTCGTAGTCAGTAGTGGCCTGGTGAAAGAAATCATAAAATGAGTATGCAAACATTTGGATGACCTGGGTTGTGAGCTTGAATAGTAAGAAAATGTCTTTTTGAGGAACTTAAGTAAGGTCAGGCGCAATGATTAATTTATCAATTCATAAAAAAAATTTATCGTTATATTGACAGACCAATAAAACATTAAAAACAACACTTACTTTAGAGACGAAACTAAAAGACACAGATGGGATTCCAGAAAAGGCCAGGAAAGGATATGCAGCATCATCCATCTGCATGGACGTCAGACTGAGCATAAAACGACAACTGATTTAGGAGCATGTGCATGGCATATCACCACAGAAACAGTCATGATTATGTTGATGCTTCGATCCATTATAACAAAAATCAAAGCAGATTTACTCACAAAGGTGACAAATTACCACGGTAACTCTGGAGAAAGCTTGAACTTGACCCAATGTTTTTGACTTTTGTCAGGGTGTTCTGCAGAAGGGTGTGCAACAAAGGACTGGCAGAAGCTCTAAAGGAGCCATCACCTGATGATTAAATAGAAACATTTAATTTTTAAAGGATATGGAGAAGAGTAGGGAAAGAACCTACAAGTTACATTAGTGGAACTCGAACTTGTCCGCCACATGAGCACCATAGAATTTCTCAGGTGCATAGGCACTAACTTGGGTCACCAGGGTCAACGTATCCTTTGATGACTCCAAACACGTTATGGATCTTGGTGTCAACAAGGTTATTATAGACAGCTACGGCTACTTTGTCAGCATTAGATGATATAACTGCCATGTATCTCTTCCAATATGTGTTTTTACCACAAAATCAACCATCTTGGAATTTCCACTAATATGGAAGTGCTGAATTAATGGTTTACAGAAATGCATGCTATTCAGAAAAAGGCACAATAGAGATATTTAAACGCATTTATTTAATTAATTATTTGTCATGTTATTCCGTCATTCAAACTAATAAAAACTGTTGGGAAAAGATAAGACGTATAATGATTTAACATCTCGCTACTCTCAACCTGATGGACATCATTTGTATTACAGCCTTCATTTGAAATGTCTGAAATGCTGCTAGCCCTAGGCAAATTATATAGATAAGTAAAGAAGAGAAAGAGGAAGCAGAAGAAGAGGAAATAGAAGGATCAGTACAAACACTTCAGTTCTTGGACCCCTAAAAATAATAATATCTATGTGTAAACAGTGAAGAATTAATACAACAACAACAAAAAAGAGTCATGACATTCTGTCTTTAAAGGAAATTGTACAACTTGGTACCGAAACACATTATTAAGGTATCGTGACAAACCTTAATAGACAAAAAAAAAAAAAACATTTGTAATTGGGTGTACAAAAGGCTTTAATAAACTTTGATCACTTGAACTCAGTAAACTTACCAGTAACAACCCCATCCAAACTGATGTAGATAAAGGCTTTCCTGTCCAGTGATGCCCAGTATCCCTGTTTAACACAGAAGAAACAATACGTTACAAAACCGTAACTGAGCTTTACAACAAACTGCTTACAATTATTGCCAAGCACAGATGACTTTGTCACACAAACCTCAAGCCATTCAGTAACTCCGACGTTACCAAAATCCCCTGCAGTCCAGCTGGCAAACACAATGCTTCTTTTAGGTTTGAAACCGTCTGAAGGTGAAGAGGACAAGGAGTGAACGCATGCCACAATCTACTGACAGACTGCATTTGAACACAGGTAGAGAAGAACATACCTTTCTTCAACTCTGTGAAAACCCTTGCAAGCTCCATCAGAAGAGTAGTGCCAACTGTAGACTTGGCATATCCCCAGCTCAGGGAGTCCCTCTGCGCTCCAATCACGACATAGCGATCTGACGGATTTAGACAACCACAATGAGACTAGAGACGTTCAGATCCGTAGACTTATTTAGGCAAAATGTAGAAACTCACCAGGGTCAACGTATCCTTTGATGACTCCAAACACGTTATGGATCTTGGTGTCAACAAGGTTATTATAGACAGCTACGGCTACTTTGTCAGTTTCTGGTCCCAACTTGTAATGGGAGAAGCTACCGTTCATATTTTCAGGAGAATGCATTTTTCTGTGAGAAATTAAAGAATACCAACTCATTTTTATGTTTTTGGACAAAGATTTTAAAAAAAAAATGATCAAGGTAAACCAAAACTATAACGCACGCTAAGATTTTTTTTGCCATTTTATTAGTAATCGTCTGGGCGATAATTCCTGGAAGACCAGAGGACTTGACTGGAGGAAACTGTGTGTGATTAAAAGACGGGAATCCTGGGGTGTAAGGATCACCTGATCCTAGGTGGACCTGTAATTAATGACCAGAATGAATGAATAAACAAAAACAATAAATAAAATACATTTATGATTTTACTTGTTCAATTCATTTTTAAAATTCACTTCAAACCATCACTGTTACTTATTTTTAATGTATTGTAAAAGTCAACATTTAACAGGCAATTTAGATTGCCTTTGCCATTATATAAAAAACATTATAATAAATATATTATTAAAACTTTTATTATAAAATAAATTAATTTAATTAGTCTTTCCATTTGAAATAAATATGTATTTAAATTAAAGAAGTTGTAATAGCAAAACACTATTATATCAACACAACCATATCAACACAACCATATGAATTTCATTCTTCTGCATAACTTACATGACCATAGAGCTCAGTATCATCAAGTTTTGTTTCATTGTCAGGCTGGTCTGGGAAGATCAGAGCTGCTACTGCACCCATCTTAGCAGCATTCATAACCTAAAATGGTGACAAACATATTTTGATCAGCACTAGCGAAAAGTATGTTACTATTAATAGACTGTTACTGTTAATGGAGTTGGGCACATTTGACCATGATTCTCTAGCAAAACACTAATAGTTCAGAAAGAAAATGAACGTATTGATCTGCTCCTCAGGTGTCACCTTCTGTGCCATGCTGATATTTCCAGCTCTCATCAGTACGACAGACCCATTTAGATTCACTTTGTATTCGTTCTGCACAGTCTGCAGGTCAGCAAGCTCACCATAGTTGGCGTACACCACTCTGCCCTGTGAATATAATTGTTTGAGGAAATAATTGAGAATGCAAGTCATGGGGCAACTACATGACAAAGCAGACTGACAAAGCAAGCAAAAAAAAAGAAAGAAAGTCAAGTGTTTCCTGCAGAGGAAGATGAAGGCTCACCTCTTCACGTCCCGTTTCACTGTAAGCCAGGAACCCCTTTGGACTTCCAATCTCCTCTGAACCAAACCACACTTTGTTTGGATTGGAGCTTTTAGGGTTAAAAACAGTCCAGATTACACACAGCGCAACCAAAGGAAGATGGAAGAACTATGACTGCAGCTCCTATGCAGTTGCCAGAGTATACTTGGTTGCAGAGTGGTTTCTTTTTATCGTACAGTGTTTCTGGAGAGCCTACTGACCTGCTAGGATACTGTAGCTTCACATAGTGCTCATCAACCCAGGGGTCCATTTTCAGTTCCGAGAAAAGATCATGGATTTTGTCACCTAACTTACTATCTAAAAATGATCCTGCATGACGGTCCCTCTGGGAGTTCTCCCTTGATGGAAGAACAATGGAAAGTCAGAAAAGTACAATAGCATGTGTACATTTACTCATTCACAATTGTGTTAACGTTTAAACTGATAATGTGTACAATAATCAATAACATTAAAGGTAACATTTTAGATTAGGGTCCTATTCTCACTATTAACTACGACTTTTGCCTCAAACTCTTAATTACTGCTTATTATTAGGGCTGGGAAAAAAATATATATTTTTCGATTAATCGAATTTGAACATCTGAATCAATATCCAGCCCTAGTTATTAGTTATTAGTTGTTTTATTGTTAAATTTAGGCATTGGGTAGGATTAGTGATGTAGAAGCAGAATCAAGCAGAATAAGGCATTAATAGGTGCTTTATAGCCAATATCCTAGTAAAATGTTTGCTAATAAGCTAGTTAAAAGTGAGAATTGTATCCTAAACTTAAGTGTTACCATTTTCATGATTTAAAGATACCTTAATTTTGTTTTGATGTTTTCAGATGACAGTTTATCATTCAGAAGTTTAACAATGTCACTCCAATCCATAGAGGGTGCAGGGGCATAATTAACATCTTGATTTTCTTGAACCTTTTGAGTTGACTGAACTTCAGAGTTTTCCAAAGGGCAGGAAGGCGACTTAGACTTACGGTTGACAGAGTATCCAATGAGTATACCTGGCACAAGAAAAAAAAAAGAGAGAAAAAAAAGAAAAACGAGTTGTTTCTCACATGAGTGAGACTCACAAAAACTGAGAACAATAATTACTTATTACATGGCTCTCTGAAGCACTTAATTTTGATTGGTCACTCACAGTATTATGGGGTCAAGCATTTTTGTACTGAACTGACCATCGTCCCTGGCAACAAATTTATATCGCTTTTCACAAATGAATTAAATAAATATGTTTATTTATATTTACATAAACAAGACATTTATGAAGTGCATGGGATAATGTACATAAACAAGAATCATACAAGATCACCTGATCACCATTCCGCAATGTGGAATCCAGTCATAAAAATGGAATTTACTGTATAATGTGGAATGTCATAGAGTCAAAATTTGGATGAATAAAAAGTATGGGTGTACACTTAATCAAATCATGATATAATCTCACCGATGTGACCACTCAAGGCTGTTCCCTGGAGCATACGGTCACATCAGTGTGATTATAATGTTCAGTGCGTCATGTGATCAACTGCTAAATTCAAATCTACTCTAGCACAGACAAATGCGCTCTGTGCTTGTCAAACATCACAACTGTTCATTGTTTTCAACCACATAACGTTTCAGACATTTAAATACACACGAGTACTAGAGAAAGTTTGTAAAATACACACTTACGTTGATTGACGTAATTTGATAAGGAGTTTTATACATATCAGATACACATACCTATGTGATACCTATCAAATAATTATTAAGTTTACTCTATTATTCTTCCAGTTCACCGGCCACTTACTTTCATGTCCTTCAGAAGAAGTGGATGAATTTACATGTAATTCTGGCAGCTCTGATTCTCAGAATCACAGCGCAAACTAAAATGCCGGCATCCAACGCCCAATGTAGATGAACTAACATGATCATTATAAAGGTGTTCAAACGACCATAAGGCGCTAGTGTATTATTCTTTAATAATGACTGAATGATATTTAATGACATTAGGATATGGTAAAGAACTGAATAAACTACAAAAACACTCACCCACACAGAGGACAGTCAGTATTAGACCGACGCAAACCAGAATCCTCCATTTGTTCAATGGCGCAGAAACACTGGATCTCATGTACTCGTCGCGTTGCACGTGTCCTTGTTCTGTACCATCCATTTCCTCCTCCTCACCTTCCACAGAGAGCTTCACCTCCACACGGCTGCTGTCTTCATCAGGATTCTGAGACTGACTGAACCGGGTGTATGAGCGACTGTTTACCTGTTAACAGGGGGGAAATAATTAAGCTTCAAATTCCAGAGAAATACACAAAAGTCAATATTTAAAGACGACAAGTTTGTCCAAAACAGAACTTACTATTCTCGAAAACTTCATTTTGGCTTGGTCAATTGTTCCTGCCATGGAATCTGAAACGGAAGAGATATATCTTTAACAACAAAGTTTCTCACAATACCAGACAAAGAGCCCTTTTTAAAGTCTCTGAATTCATAATAACAGCCCTACTTGTTCAAAGTCCAAACATTTTTTATCCACTGAAAAAAGGACAAGTCTTTTGATTCGTTGAACTGCATCCAAAACCCAGAGCCGCCCTCTACAGAGGCTCCAGAGCTAGTTAAAGCAGTGATAGGAATCAATATGGCGATTATATAATGTTGATAATGTGACGTGCACCACAAACATTAACTAATTGTGAAATACTATGTTTAGTTTAAATCTATAACCCATTTACACAAACTAAAGGAAAAGTGACAAATACAGATGGAAAAATACAAAATTACTTTTACATTTACGCATTTAGTAGTTTCTTTACCTAAAGCATCTTTCAACAGAGAAACAAGCAATTCGCCACAAATCCAAAAAATGTATAGTATACAATGCCAGATTTCTTATACAGCTAGATTAGGGCAGAGGAGAAATGTAAAAGAAAAATAGATTTTTGTGTGTGCTTGCATTGGTTTAAGGTTTAAACTTGTATATTAAACAGCAACTATCCAGATAAACAAGCAATGACAGAAAAAATTAGAGCCAATATTTATATGACCCACATTTTTTTTTTGAGACAGTCTTTGTAAAAACTGTGGCTTTATAATTAGTGAAAAAATACTTGTTGCAGGACATACTTCCCAATAATGTCTGTGGTTATGAGGTTTACTATATCATTTTTCTGCATTCAACTGAATCTACAATTGTCAGACAAAAAAAATTGTTTCATAAGAGGAAGTTGGTTGCATGTGGTTAGGATAACTTCCTACTAATTCAACCACCAACAGGCACAATTGGCGCCAATTTTTTGTTTAGTAACAACTGCATGCAGTTTCACAGGAAAGAGTTTAGCAGTTAAGACTGAAAACAAAAATGCTAGATGGCCAACGAATGAGTCAGGATACTCCTAAATGTTAAGCCAAACCCAATCCAATCTTTGCCTTAGTTTAGATTGTGCCCTTGATGATGCCTATACTATCGGCAATGATATTTCAAGGTTCTTGAGCACAAAACGGCATTCATCACGTTTCAACAACCTTATAAAAAGTATAAAGTGGGTTTCATAATCAAATAAAAAACTGAAATTACAATCTCCTCTCTATTCTAAGTCCAATTAATTTATTCATCCAGCAAAGGTGATCATCATGTCAGCCCAATGAGTAGGGGGGGAAAAACATCTTGTTTTTATCCCTTCCAGCATAAATGCAATTTAAGCTCAATTAGACATGGCAGCATGAAGATATTATCCTTCAAGACATGTGAGAGTCACAACCAGCATCAGACATTGATATGGAGGCTGGTTCATAATGATTTCCATTGTAAATTGGGTTATAAGCCACTTCTTGCAGAGCTTTGAGAACTAACAAAATTAGAAAATAATCTGTTTTAACGTTATTACAGCACATACAGCAAAGGACGACTATCAATATAATTATTTTCACTGTCTGTAAAGTAGTCATTAAGTTCATATAAGAAAAGGCAAATATATGCATTATTCTTTATAGAACACTTGAAGGTCAAATATGTTAGCACTTCCTGCCCACGTGCTCGTGGCGCGGAAATCTAATACATCCTTACTTTATGTTCTAGAGAAATAATAATTAGAAAACAAACTTAAGCACAAATTAATATTCAATTCAGATGTTATGCCAAGTGGGACCTTTTTATTGTTATATGTTATACCCATTTACATTTCAAATTTAGGTCTGTATTTCCGCCTAAGAGCCTAACGTTAACGTTAGTTAAGTTACATCATCAAAGACACTGTCTGCGGATCCTTCTAGTTTTAACTACATAAGTAATGTGTATGTTTAACATTTTAAAAATAGGGCAAAACGCTAAAAAAAACAACAACAACAACAACAACAACAACAACAACAACAACCAACTTATTTATTCACCCAAAGCATGGCATGAAGTTCAATGACAGTGCACGATATTCTCAGCGAGCTGTCAGGCCATCCTGCTAATTCATAAAAGATGGAGCGTAGTGGCTTATTTTAGAGCAAAATTCTTGCTTTTACGTGAGAAAACTGGTCCTGTAAATGAACGTTTCTTCTTATGTGTGTTGTTTAAATGTCAGTACTTACTTGCAAAAGTAATGTCCTGATTCCTGAATGTTCTCACGCGCTCGGTCGCCAGCAATGAGGGTGAAACCATGGGTGAAACACGCACGGCACGTACACACGCACACGCGCACGCGCACTCGCTCAGATCTCAACGTCACTTCCTAGTTCCTCCTAACCTAACAGGCTTGTTGACAGCCAATAAAAGATGTAGCCTACACTTTACATGGACAGTGCCAAATGCATTTCTGTTTAATAATTTAAAAAAAATACGTCAATTTTAAATGTATTCCTCATTATTACCCATAATAAATATTTAATTAAATTTAACCTAAATATTTCCCCACTCTGCTCTTTTTACCAAGATGAGGAACATTCTCTTTCACTCAGTAGTACTTCCACTAAATGTTTTCACCTTCCTACTTCTAGTGTTTTACCAGCTGTGTAGCCTAATATTGTTGTCAGTAATTTCTTTTTCACTCTGATGTTTCTGACAATAAGGAGCTAGATTGATGACTTAAACTTTATTTGTATGATGGGTAAATACTATTTTCACAATGTAAAATACCTTAAATTCAAACCTAACTGCAACGTATTTGCTTATGATTTACATTTACTACTGTCATCACTTAAAAAAAAAAAAAATCTCATCCAATAAAAAAAGCATTGAAAACAATGACCAGTCCATCAACTGTCTGGTTACCAACATTCTTCAAAATATCTTCTTTTGTGTTCAACAGAAACTCATACAGGTTTGGAACATGAGTAAATTACAAAATTTTGATTTTTGGGTCAACTACCACTTTAAGACAAAATCTTTGCTCTTTATAGGATACAACACAAGTGAATCGAATCTAAGTCATCAATTCTCAGCAATGTGATTTTTAACAGTTTGTAAGATAATTCTGAAGAAATCTAAAGTTCTTACTGCACAAAGAATATATTTTGATAATACACAAACATGACCATGCAGAACAACTGGAAATGGTTGGGGTGTTTGCATGACTACTAAAAAGAGTAAAAGAAAAAGAAAACAAGGGAACTTTTATTCATCACTTCCTTCTTCTACAACGGTTTTGTTTAAAAGTCAGCCAAAAGTCAGATTGCACCTTCAATACAAAAAACAAGGTAAGCTTATCACACATATCTGTTTGAAGTAGGTCATGCTGTGTGTAACTTACACAGCAATTAAGGGCACAAAAAGGTTATTATTATTATTTCAATTATTGATTTATTATTATTCAGAATCTGTATCATTATGTATTAAAAATTACATAACTTAACACAGTAAACAACCGTCTTCAATTTTTTTCAATAAAAAATAAAACCAGAAGAAAAGAAAAATACAAAAATAGCAGTTGAGTGAAGTTTTGCTTTTGTGAAAATCTACTGGAAAAAAAAACTTTAGGTTGAAAACTAAAACTGGTGGAGGAGAAGGAAGTGGTAAATAAAAAAAAACCTATTCTTTTCTTTACTGTGCAAATCAGAGCATATTAGATGCACTTTTAGATCCTTAAGTACACAATAAAGAGCACATTTGTGTCTTCATGACAACAGCTGATCAGAAATGTTTTGCTGGCGTGCAGCTCACTGTAACAACAACTCAACAAGGATGTGCTAAACTAAGGAACTGATTGCGAGAGAAGTGAATAACAGGAACTTTAGTGTAAAGCTGCATGTTGCAGCTGAAATAAGAGAAGAACACCATCTGTAGTAAACTGGTTCGGCTGGTCTTGATCCAAGCCATCCAAACGTATGAACAAGGCTCTTTTAAACAACTATTCTTAACTTTTGCCAAATGTGCGGGTAAAGAATTTTTAGACAAAAATATTTTTTTATGCTCCAAAATCCTTTCACATATAGATTTTCCAGTCTTTTACAGGACTGCATACCCTCATTTTAACTTGATGACATGCTTGGCGGTTTGAATTACACATTGTGTTATTTCATGGAAAGCCAACCAGTCGAAGGTTTTTAGGTATCCATTTCCGTGTTTTCACTCCATTGACATCTAAACCTTTTCAAAGACTGTTTGATTGATTCCTCAGCTTCGAATACAAATGGTACACTATGCAACTTTTGGAGTCAGTATACCATCAATCCTTCTTCCAAAACATGTTTTTTTCTTCTTCCCTAATTCACTATGGTAATCCTGTTGTTACATTTTAGACCTGACAGCATGGTTTTTGTGGGAAATTGCGTCACTTGCCCGTGTAAAAATGGTAAAATGGTAAATGGACTGCATTTATATAGCGCTTTCACAGACCCAATGGCCACCAAAGCGCTTTACAATTTGCCTCACATTCACCCATTCACTCACTCATTCAAACACCGACGTTTGCGTCTCGTCATATCCGTAAGAGAACAGTTGCTCTGGCTACTTTGACGCGTGAATGGAAGTGGCATAGGTTACCTGTCACAATGAGCGAGAAAGGTTGACATTATAGCCCTATTTGGACGGTAATTGTTTCTCATGGGGTCGTAAGGTATTTTCAACATTTACAGGGGTTAGTCTGTGTTTTTATTGGCGTCCGAATCCAGAATGTCAGTGTTTTTTTTTCCCACCACCACCCGCGTAAAAATCCCTTCCTGGCAAACCAAAACAAGCCTTAAAAAAATAACTTTCTGTGAACCAAAATCTAATGTTCTGAGAACAAAAAACTAGCGTTCTCGGTAACCAAAAATTGTTAGCTGAGAATATCTTTCTCTGGAATGTCTGGATATTAATCGTGCTTATGATTTTTGAGCAAAATAATCGTGATTATCAGTTTAGTTATCGTGCAGTCCTACATAAAATGTATTGAATTAATCAGTTAGTAACCATTCTCAATAAAAATTAAATAAAACCTTTTTTTAAAACTAAAATCCATTGTATAATAATTTTCATTGTGCTAGTCATCACATAAATTCAGAGTGAAATTAAGGACCTTTATTTAAAAATACAGTAAAAAATATATAAGTGAAAAGTAACAGAAAACAAAAACAATTTATATATAAAAATGCATAAAATATTTATTTAATTTTATATTAAGATGTCCTACTTTGTCATACTGGCAAGACTTGAACAGAAGAGGGCAGCAATGAGTAACCAAAGGCAACATTCCAAAATACAGGTTCAAGAGACCATTCGTGAATAGTAGAATCTTATCAAATATACAACTCTTACAACATATATTATTTCTTTATAAGAAACATTTAAATAGTATTTGAATTATTAAAAAAAAAAAGACAGTGAACTGAATTAGGTATTTAGTTATCAAAACAAAAAGCTCTAAATTATTTTGCTTTGTAAAAAAGAAAAACACAAAAAGGTCTAAAATACATAGCAAACTAGCTATATATTAGCTTGTATTCCGCCCTGTATAAATACTCAGTTGAAGAAAGTGCAATTAAGTAATGCCAATAAAGAATATATATATATATATATATATATATATATATATATATATATATATATATATATATATATATATATATATATATATATATATATATATATATATATATAAACAAAAGTACTGTAACTTTAAAAGTAAGAAGTTCTTATAATGCATATCCAATGCCCGTGTTCTTCACTCTTGCTGCTTTCATCCTATAGGGGACAGAACATTTTTTCCATCAATATATTTTTTAAGCACACTATATAAGACAGCATTCTTTCATGATTGATAAGTCACTTTCTCATACTTTAGGCACTCGACTCTTCTTTGTGTCCAATTCTGTGCTGGGTCAGCACAAATTGATCTTCCTTTTTCGGTGTGGAAGCTGCAGTGATATAACATGCCATGAACTCAAGCCCCAGAGACAATATTATCGTTATTATGTCCATAAAATAAAGGACTATACAGTTTATTCATGTGGCATTGCAAATTCAACCCCTAAAATATACAAAGAAAGAATTCTTGCTAAATCAGAATAATAATTAAAAAAATTATATTTAAACGCAATATAACAAAGCTTGGGAATGCACATTCAATTTTTCTTATTTTTCCATATATTGACACATAACAATACACACACGTATTCTGTATTATTACTATTTGTTACAATTGGTGAAATAATCAAAACTATAATATAACACATTTTGCCTATGTGCACTTTTTTTGTAAAATTATATATACTCATTTATTATACAATTTCTAAATTACATAGAGTGCATCAAACATGTATGCAACATAACAATACTTACATAATAGCTGCAAGATCACAGCCGCCAGTTATAGCTTGGATATCATAGCCTTTCAGAACTGCACAGCGTCTGGGTCTTTTAGTGTAACTGAGGCAGCAACTACCTGTGAAACAGAAGGGAAAGAGTTATTCAGGTCTTTACACATCTACAGGCTGTGTCAAACTTTCCACTAATGTCCAAAATGACAATAACAACAGTAAAGGGTATTGTAGTGTAGCATTAAGGACTTTAACATGCGTTAGTTTAAAAGACAGCTAATACAAGGGTTTCTAATTTAAATTCAGCTATAGGATAGGCCCATAACTGAACAGGTAATGAGATCCATCTTGTTTTTGTACTACAATTGTACCCTTGATCATGAAACATAATCTTCATTTTTAAAGCGATACTAGTCCATGCAATCAATGGGTTATGTAATTTAAAAAAATATATATTTTAAAGCAGTTGCTCAACATTTCAGCAGCACATTTCTACAACACGAGTCATATAACAAGAAGCTGGCGGATCATTAACGCATTCAATAGAACGTATTCAACAGAACGCATTCAATGTAAAAGATCTATTGCATATTATTACTTGAAAGCACTTTCACTCACCTGCCTCTGTCTCCACCTGAAAAATGAGGAGTGTAACGAAGGCCAAAATACATATTTTTATTGCCATCTTTGAACTTTGGAAGTGGTCCAGTATCTAACAAAGTATTAGTGTTGTTAAGAGAGTGGTAATCCACAAGATCTGAAGAGCTTCAGCGAGAACACTCTTTTTAAGCCCTTGATTTGGGTTTCCCCCACCTCTGGAATTCATGTTTACTCCCCTTTAAATTCCTCAGTGGATCTGTTGTACGCCACTGAGCAGGTGTGTGAGGCAATTGAACAGTGATCTACTTCCTGCTTTCAAAACCACATTCCTCTGAATGATGGTCTGATATTAAGTCTATAAAATGCATGCATTATGCTTAAAAATACACATTTGACTAATTTAAAGGCTAATTTACAAATAAGTTAATTCCTTTAAAATCTGACTTTTCCAGTAAAAGCGTTCAGATGAAAGAACAAACAAACAAAAAACTATTAACATTTTGTTCAAATTCTGTTTGTCCAAACCCTTTTTAAACAGGCCTATGAGGGATATTTTGTAACCGTGATGGATACCTGATCATAAATACATTAACCAACCAATTAAATATTAATAAATTAGATCAAGATTCATAAAACATTTTATGCCTTTAAAGTTTGTGTATGATTTATATTTCAGATGCTGTCTATTCAAATGTAAGTAAATGTACGTGCATGTGATAGAACCACATTTGATGTAGATTAATACTTATCAGATTATCATGTTGCACCATCAGACAAAAATGCAGTGTAACACATTACAACTAACGTGAGTTAGTAATCAGATTACTTTCTGCAAATAACTAAAGTAACACATTGCATCACAACAAAATATCAGTTTACTTTTTTAAATGAGTGACACAAGTTGACTGACAGCTCTCCTGACCCCATAACTCAGAAGTAAGTGCAGAGGCGTTGTGTGCGCTGTGTGAACATGTGATTATTGTAGTTCTAGACTAAATGTGAGCAGGCATTTTCTCATTTAATTTTCACAAAAACAGATTCAGTATTGCTCAAAATGAATAAAAATAGTAAACTGCCAACTCAGAATATTATGCAAACCTGCAATAATTAAATATATTAAAAAAATAAAAGAAATATACTTTATGTATTTAATCTCACTTTATTAACCAATGTCTTTGCTGCTGACATTCGATGATCCAATTCAACCAAACCAATTAGCAAAACTTACTTTAGATAAATTTTGTTTCGTTTTTATTGCTGAAGTTTTATGGCTGCGTTTAACTCTTAACACTTTTGGACGCACTCCTAAACACTGCCCCTCGAGGGAATCCACGCCGCCATTTTGAAGTGCATTCAACTTCGTTAAGTGGACGAGAAGTTTATTTGAACAGACCATCGACCCCTCTATTTTGACCAAGGGAGCAAGTCTACTCAACATGTACACTTCAGGCAGATCCATAGACCACAATGCACCATGATTGTGACGTCACAGCGGATTGTGCTTAATTTACCCCCACCCAACACAACTCAATGTATTGGCATTATTTTTACATTTAACCGCATTTAATACTTGTATTATTGTAGCTACCTTAACAGTTATAGTTTATTGTAACACAGTTATAGTTTATTGTATCGTAATTAAATTATCATTTTCGTTTGTGTATTTTAAATATAGATAAATGATAATATATTCATATTTATATTTCAATGGTGCATAACATTTTTTTTTTTTGAAAAAGGGATAACGCAATATTGTAATACATTACTTTTAAAAGTATCTCTGCAGAAATGTATGAAGAGCAGTCATTTTTGTCAACAATGTATCATGAATGCAGCTGATGTTAGATTCATGTTGGATGATTTCTATTTCACACATTTTTGTATCAAAGACATATAAAAAAGTAAGAGCTGTTATGACTCATCTTATTGGCCTAAATCCACAGTTATTCGACCCTTTGGACTTATCAACTAAAATAACGTAAGCATTTACAGTTGGTCACACCTTATTTTACATAGCCTATCTTTGGTTCATATTTTATCTTGACAACTACAAACTTCCGTCGAAAGTGTCAGCACTGACGTGCAGCAGATATATGATCAAATGTGCCGACTCTAAATCAAAGATTAACTTATGGATAACAAAGTGAGTAAATAATGACAGAATTTTTACTTTTGGGCGAACTGTCTCTTTAAGGAACAGACCTATTATTAATTTGTAGTTTAACCTGGATTAACACAACTTCACAATAAGGCTCCGATTTCAATGGTTGCATGTGGTTTGAGTCCCTTTCACTCTTTTTGATCGACTCACGTTATGCTGATTTTAAAGTGCTTCTAGTCTTACACTGAGACATTTCCCTTGGTTTATCTGGTTCATTTTCTTTAATGCAGTTCCTGCCGCTTTGTGCAAGTCATACTAATTTCTAGAATTAGTGAATTCTAGGAACTAAGAACAGAATGCAGAGGACAGAAGTGATAATGCTGATGAAGCAGACATGATAGCTTCGACGATATACTGTATTTTACTCCACAGCGTCACCAATTCCAATTTGAGGTCAAATCTGCAGAAAGGAATGAATAACTCATTGTATGAAGAAAATAGCACTGGCTAATTTGAGATGTAACCTTTTACTATTTTGAAATTATGGAAAATAATCAAATCAAAATGTGTACAATTTTGGATCTGGGCTTAAGATAGATTTCACTTGGGTTGTTTTCCCTCTTTTTCCAGCTATGTCTATGTACTTTGTTTATGAAGAAGTCTAAAAATAGCAACATCTAAGTATAGATGTCCTTCAGAGCTATAAATAGCACCCAGGAAATGATTTGAATGCTTTTCTGTGTATGAGAACAGCGATATGGTGATAACAAAAGGTGATGTAAGAATACATTTTAGAAATATATATAGTAAGGCTTATGTTTAAAAACATGCAAATATAGAACAAGGCAAAGTACACTAAAAGATGTCTTGAAACAAGCACTTAGATCTAAACATTTTAAAATAACATTAAAAAATTAGCTTGAGATATTTTTATATGATATATTTATGGTAAATTATGGTAATACACATATAGTGTCATTAAATGTATTTTAGCCATTTAAAAAAAGTATAAACTGCTAGATTCATCCAATCAGTATATATCACTCAAAAAACAAAAATGATATATATGATTATTCATCTTGATGTCCATGTGAGTGCTTGAAAAACCTTCGAAAATATCCTAAAATGCCTGCATGGTCAGCTAAATATTAAAATAATGACATAATCATTTACCACCTGAATTACCATTTGAATTTTTCTACCATGAGATCATGGCTGTACAAAGTCTGGAGTCTTCTGAGGCTGGCCGGGCATGTTGTTAAACATTTGTTAAAGGCAAACGCTCTTCACAACATAGGTTCTTTATTGGTATCTACGGTTCCATGAAGAACCTTTAACATCATGATGGAACATTTCTATTGCACAAAAGGTTCTTCAGAAAATTAAAACGTTCTTCACACCAAGGAATAACGTCTCCTTTAAGAACTGTTCACTGAAATGTTCTTTGACAAACCCAGAATGGTTCATCTATGGAATCGCTGTGAAACCCTCCTAGCTTTATTTTTAAGAGTGCAGACAAGACTTTGCAGGTCACTTCTTGGACATTGTTGGAGTTTGTGATATCTTTACGTTTATTTTTGGTGGAAATAGCTTACATACCAAGTTTATTTCCATGACCGTTGTTTAAATGCCAGACATTTTTGTATCTTGGCTAACCCCTAAATTGGTAATTCATAAAATGGTCTGCATGCGTCACAAACAGATCACCTGCGCAGATTTCTTTGCAACCTTCCTTCATTCCCTCTAACTTGAACTTAGAGATAGATGACATTTAAATGACATTTATCAGAGCTTCGGTAAGAGTCTGATCAATATATTTCTTGGCATTGTCTTCAAGATGCTGGAGGCCAACACAATGCATTCAGTACTGCATTCATATTTTGTTGTCATCAGACACAAAAAAACTGAAAGAGTTCCAGTTATAGGCCAAGTCCTTCTGAAAGCAATAGCCCATATAACTGGATGTTTGTGTATAGCACTTGAATGACTTATTTGATAAACATCGCAATGTTTTAGATAGGCCTATCATATTTTTCAGTGCATGAATACTGGCACAATGTGCAATCGTGTTACATTCTTGTGATGTTGCTATTTTTTCTTTCCTTGAGTCTTTCTCCCTTTCTCTCTCTCACTTTCTTAGTGAAATTACTAAATCTATCTCTCTCTCCTTAATTTTTACTTTCTTAAATTATACATGCATCATTCTCTGATATATGGATTTTATGCAACACTTATTTGCCTTATTTATAACTAAGAGCAGGCGCCACCATTTGTAACAGGAATGTGTCAGGCTTGCAGTTTCATCCTCTATAATTTTATCAGTACAAAAACAGTCTATTATACTGCTTTATATTGCAAACTAGTACATGTTAACACATTATTCAATGCATTATAATAATCCTAAACACACTGGTTTGTAGTTTGTTATTCTTCTGGAAGCCTATAGCGGAAAATGAATCGAAATTCTCAGACATTTCATAAAATAGTTTAATTCCGTGCTGCAAATTAAAGCTGCCGGCAAGTCTGGCAGATTGAGTGGATTTAGGCAAAATTTTGAATGTTTACAACTCTCACGGCCCTCCCCCACTATCAACGAATACCCTCCCACCGAGTTCATGCTGGTCAGTGCGTGTGCACCTGTAATGATGGCACAGATACTGAGGAATCCATTTGCAGCTTTAATGAGAATGGTCAAACAGGCAGGGTAATTGACAGCAGACAGTAGCAGCGAAGATAACACAGAGAAGGTCGGGGTCACAGGCAATAGTCAAGGCAGGCAGAAGTATACAAATCCAAAGGGCAATCCGGGTCGAGACAGGCAGAGAACAGTCAGAGGTCGGGGTACACAATCCAAGATCAGAACACAGAATGGTAAACTCAGAAATAAACGCTTGTTATTGAAAGACAGGGCAATACAATACTTCGCAGAGAAGTGGTGTGTGGAAGTGGCTTTTATGTGTGTGTAAATGACATGCAGGTGTGTGTGCAATCAGTGTGGTGCAGGTGTGTCGCGTAATCAGTCCC